CTTGGGTAATGAAAGCCAGTGGTGGCATCTCACAGGGGGGCAGAGACAGCGGGCACCTAGGGCACAGGGAGATGGGAGTTTCTCCTGATTTGCCCGACATCAGGGGCTGTCCAGGAACCAGGTCCTTTCTTCCCCGGAGCCGGGGGGGCAGGGTTTGGGGGGGATGTCCTGGGATGAGGGCWGGGGCCAGGGCAGGATGGGCTCCTGACCCGGCCCACGGGCCCTCCAGGGGGCATGTGGGCTCAGACTCCTTCCTGGGGGCGCCCAGAGAACCGGGAAGAGGCCCAGCACCCAGGTCCTGGCCTTGGCCTCCTCCAAGGAGGAGGGGCGGGCCTGAGGGGTGGCCAGCCAATCAGGGCACAGCACTCCACCTCAGCAGAGACAGTTCCAGGCAGGACAGGGGACCCCAGCAGAGGACTTTCCTAGGTCAGCTGGAAGGACAGGCTCTCTTGCCCCAGCCTGGGGTCCAAGATGTGCAGGGTAGAATCCCTGCCAGTGCCCCCGCTCACGGGCCCCTGGGGACTGTGGCTCCTGGGCCTGGCCCCCAGGCCTCATGGATCACCCAACTCCCACCTTTCTGACCCCTCTGTGTGTCCCCTCCCTCCCTGGCCCCAGCCCTGCGGCTCCTTGAATGCCCTGGCTCCCTGCAGGTGTTGGGTGCTGCCTGGACAGCTCTGTGTCCATCCCTCATCCTCCTCTGCTCAGGCCTGGCCTCTGTCCCTGGACATGCCATCTGCAGCCCTCTCCGGGCTCCTCCTGCCCCTCCTTCCTGGCCCAGCACCTTGCAGCAGTGGGAYTGCCAGACTGACAGCCCCTGGTACCAGGGCAGCTGCCGTCGGGGAGACCAGCAAGTGGCTGCATCAGGAGGCCCGCCCACGTCCCTCCCGATGGACCCCAGGGCCAAGCTGAGGCTGCCCACAGACCCGCCTCGCCTGTCCCCCGGCGTCCATCTCCTGCCGCCCTTCAGACCCTAGGTGCTCCCGGAGCAGGCAGGCTGCAGGAGGACTCCCCTTCCGGGTGTCCAGGTCCAGGGTCACTGAGTCTTCTCCTTCTGACGATGGTTGAAGCCCAACCATCTGCAAATACTCYTTAGATGTTACCCCTCCCTGAGCAGGAGACCCCCTGGTTGCCCCTCCACAAGCGAGGGCASGGCTGGGGTGAATGTTCACTGTGGACATGGGTGGCCCTGGGCAGAGCTTTCTCTGTGATGCAGTCTGTCCTCCAGGTCAAGCTAAGTGTGGACAGAGGAAGGGGAGCCACCTGGGCTGGGGAGGCAGGGGCTGCCTGGACGGGCCGGAGGGTCTGGGGGGAGCTGGGCTTCCTAGACCGGAGACCAGAGGCAGTGCTTTGTGGGTGGGCAGCTGGTATGGGTGGGAACAGGGTCTGAACCCGGGAAGAATCCAAGAGCCTGGGGAGCAGAGTCAGGGGCCCACTCTGTGGGGCAGAGGACCGGTACAGCCCAGATGGGGACCGCTGTGGGAAGAGAGCCCAGACCTGGTCTTGCCAAAGCTGGGGCTCCACGGAACATTCTCCTAAAATAATCCTGCAAGCGAACAGCAGCTCCTACAAGTTACCCTCCTAACCACACCTTCTCAGTGTCACACCACCCCAGAGCTGGAGCAGGTGACTTCCTGGGTCCTCCTCRTTCTGCAGATCCACAGGACCAAAGACCAGCTGGCCAGCGAGACYCTCCAGGACCCACGGTTACAGGACCACTAGCTCATGGCTCTGGCCAGCTCCTCCTGCTGCTGGGCTGCTGGGCTGCTGGTTTTGAGAAACCTATGATGTTCCTTACCTGAGGACGTGCACAACCTAGAATACACAAACACACACATGCAGGTGTATAGTGCGTGAGCATTGTCACATGCGTGTGCACACGTTTACATTAGTGCAAGTGTACACATCTGCACATGCATGCACAGGTGCCTACACAAAGCTACCCCACGTGTGTGTGTGCAGAGTGCCTGCATGCACACCCATGTAGACATGCTCTGTAGTATTGATTAAGAGCAGAGGTCACATTCAGTCCTTACCCAATACGCTATCCCCATTCACTCAGAAATGCAGAATGAAGAGGACTGGCGGTGACATCTGCTAGGAAGTGTTTTAAGGGGAACTGGGAGCATTAGTGATAACTACTGTGATTATGCCATGTCTGAAAGGCCCCAGATTATCGCATGTTCAAAAGAACATGCTATTGCAACAGGGTAACTGCTAATTGTCATCGATGGTTTTCTTCCAAAGAAGTGGGTGCATCTTCCAGGCAGAAGCCTGTGCAGGTCTGGCATTGATTTTCACCAGATTTTGTTATTACATTTGTCTCACAGCTTTAAAATAGTAGCAAATATGTGCAATTTATTTAAACAACACTAGGGAAATTAACGGCGCGCCAGCTCCTCCGTAGCAAATGGAGACAGAGCAGGTGGAGGCCAGCTGTGTCAGAACCTGTGTGAGGGGGGGGTCTGGGTGCGGGTCCCGGCAGCCCTGCTGGGGTGGAGGCATCTCCTGCGGARCCTGGCTGTCTCTGCCCCACCCTGGGAGGGGAGGGCCCCAGCTGCAGACCCTCCTCCCAGGGGTGGTGCGTTAGGCCAGGCCCCTCCCCTCACCCCAGGGCAGAGTGGCGCTTGGCCAGTCTGTCCTCCAGATGGGCTGCAGARCAGAAGTGGCCCATCCCTTCTCCTGAGGCAGGTACCTGGGGACAGGTGAGCCTTGTTCCCGTGGGCCGGGGACCTGGGCAGGGCGCATCTGCAGAGCTCCGTSAGTCACCCTGCGGCCCAGTGAGTGCCAGCTGCCGCCCCCCCACAGCCAAGAAGGTGTGTTCCTGACGAGCACCTGGTGCCAGCCGCTGACCCAGGACCAGCCTGAGAGATGAGTCTCCCAGCCCCTCGGTTTAAAGGGGGCCCCGAGGGCAGGGGGCACCCTCAGGGCCCGCCCCCCACTTCTTCGCAGGAATATCCATTTCTGCCTTGCCCACTGCACACCTCCCATGAGGACAGGCCAAGAGATGCTGGCCCATGGACAGCCAGGCCCTGGAAGGAGGAACCTGGCCGGTGCTCTGTCCTTGGGGTTGGTCAGGCCCTCCTCTGCCTTGGGTGCTGTGTGGCCTCTCCAAGTTCCCCCTGCTTCCTCCCTAGCAGAGTGGAGTGATGAGCTTCCCACTGGAGTGCTGATAGGAGGATTCTGGGGGAGAGTGCATGGAACAGTGTTTGGCCAGAGCCTGGAACCTAARTGTCAGAACAAGGCTCCAGTTATCGTTGTTTATCTGACATTAAATGACGTCACACCTCCCTCATTCTGACGGGGGACCCAGGGGACACTTTGGGTTTTTAATTGTTGAAGACTCTTGAATGCAGGCCCGACGGGAGGAAGGTGCAGGGGCTCCTGGTGTCCTCATCCGGGTGGTCTGTGGCACTGGTGGCGAGCAGGGGCGGGTGCCAGGATGGTTCTGCACCCGGCAGGCAGCCGCTCTGTGTGCAGCCTTATTTCCACGCCGGCTTTTAGCACAAGGCAGGGGCAGCCCACAGAACCATGCTGAGCACAACAGGTGTCCTTGCCTGGATCCTGGGCTCCGCAGAGGGCCCTTGGATGGAGGGCAGCCTCGGTCAGGTGCCCAGCCAGCATGGCCCTCTGCCTTGGGCTGTGCTGACCAGGCTCTGCCTCCTCTGGCTCCCAGAGACTCAGACTAAGGTGAGCGTGGCCCCGGGCAGAGCTGAGCTTGCTGTGAGGAGACAGGGACATGAACGTGTCACCCGCGCACAGTGTGGGCACTCTGCTGCCCTGGGACGTCGTGTGAGCTCTGACATCCAGGGAGCCTGMAAGTAGAGGGCAAAGCCATAGCACAGAACAAGACCCCAGAGTGGCACGCAGTGACAGTAGCGTCCCAGATGTGGCTGTACTGAGGGCTTGCCCAGGYATCCAGGGTTTTCCTGGTGATTTTACTACCGTGAACGCATCTCCCTGGACGCCCTCGTCCACCCAGGCTCTCGGGACGCATTTCCAGCTGCGGAGCTGCTGTCCCCGGGCAGGGCTGCTGGGGCTCTGGTTAACTGCTGGCACCCTGGTGGGGAAGGCTGTGCTGGCCGCAGGGCCCAACAGCTCTGGGAGCCGCAGTGGCAGCACACGCAGGCTCACACAGGCTCACACAGGTGACGGCCACATTCCTCATTGTCATCTGACCCAGAGCTCTCGCCACCATGCCCAGTTCAGAAAGAGGAGGCGGGACACGCTCTAGTGATGCCAGAAACATTAGGCTCTCATCTGCTGAACCCAAACCCCACACCCCTGCCACCGCCCCCACTCACAGCCTGAGTCACAACGGGCTCCCCGTGTGTTAATCCTGCTTGGTCTTGTCAGTTGGACAGGTGGACAGGAAGATGTGGACATTTTCACAAGTTTATTAGCCATTAATATTTATTTTGCTATCTTTTTATGTCCTTTTCCTGTTATGAAAAAATACTTCRTTATTTCTTATTGATTTGTAAGAGCTCTTTCTATAGAGGCTATTAACACTCATCAAATTGGTYATACATTATATTTTCCAAACTTATCATTTGCTTTGTGGGTCTATTTTTATAAACAGGAGTTTAAAATTAAAATGTGTCAGTCTTCCATGCTTTCCCCCATTATTGGGGGTTTACGAAGCCCTTACTGAACTGGAATAGAGCTCCATGGTGGAGCGTGTGCTTAGCATGAACCCCTGGGTKCAACCACCAGCACCAAAACATGAACAAATGACAGGAGCCCTGGTCCACCCTGCTGGTGACATTGTTGGTGGCTGTGCCCCTCTTGAGCTGCCTCTCCCCTCTAATCCTGTAACCCAGGCCCTGAGTATCGATGAGGGTCTTGCCCGATGTCTTCCTGACTCTGCGCAGAGTTCCCAGAGTTCACAGCTTCCCTCTACCAGGAGCGGCAGGTTCTCCTAACAGACGTGCTCCTCCTGGGTGCGAGACTTGACCAGACCCCCCTGACTCTTGTCTCCCTCCACTCAATGCTGCAGAGAGGAAAGAAGAAAGACGTGACCCTGGACCCCTCCCAGCCCCCAAGGGACACGCTGCTGCCCTGGCCTCCGCACCAGCGCTCCGGGGGGCTGAGGCGGCAGAAGCGAGACTGGGTCATCCCCCCCATCAACGTGCCGGAGAACTCGCGCGGGCCCTTCCCGCAGCAGCTCGTGAGGGTGAGTGGGGCCCTTCCTGCTGGGCAGGGGGTGGTGGGGGGCGACCGGGAGCCAGGCAGGCTCTGCACACGGTGTCAGGAAGGCCGAGGCTGGCCTCGTCCCTGGAGGCCTGCGCGGTGCAGAGCAGAGGCCAGCAGGGAGGGAGGAGGGCCCCAGGGCAGGGCCTTCTTGGTGGTGGCCGAAGCTCTCTGGGTTAGTTTTGAAGGCTGTCTCCTGTGGAAGCAGGTGGGGCAGGGCACGGAGCCGGCCTGTGACYTCTGACACACTGTGGTCCAGCCAGCCGCGCGTCTTTCCAAGTGGCCTGGTGGCACCTCTGTGCYGTGGTCCTGGCACAGAAAGCCAGCGTCTCGCATTGGGCAGGRTGCCACCTGCTGCTTGTGTGCCTCCAAGCCCCCAGCAGCCACTGTGGCTGCCYGTCCTGCAGGGGGGTCTGTGTTTCTGTGGTCAAGACGGTCACCCATCGGCCAGCATTTTCTTCTTCCCCTTGAAGAAAATCACAACCCAGTCTGAGCTGTACTTTGATAAAACGATGGTGAGATTCTGTTCGATGATTCCAATCCTCGGTGGAAAGGCCTCATCCCTCTGTTTGGAAATTAGCCCCCAGAGTGTGGAGAGGGGCGTCCTGTTCTTGGTGCTGATGAGTCGCTCTGTCCCTTGGTCCCTCTGGATGCACAGGACTGGGAGAAGGGGCCGGGAAAAGGCTTACTAAAACCAGCAGCCAGGAACTTCAAATATCTCTTCTGAACATAAAGAGTTAAAGAAAATGTAGTCAGAATGATTTAAGAGATRGGGAATAAACAGCACAAAATGGAATATTTAAAAATATAACCAAATGGAAATGGGAAACCTGAAGAGTACGTCCTTTCTAATGAAGACCTCACTGAGGAATAGGCTRTAGAAGGCAGAGGAAAGGGTCAGAGCATTTGCAGATAGATCAATAAGATCATCCCATTGAAGAATGGCTGGTGGGAGGACAGAAACATACAGTTTCAGTGGGACAATGGCAAGGGATCCAGAGAAAGACAAAAGGGAGATTGAGAAAATTCATCGAAGAAATAAAGGTTGAATTTCCCCCAAATTTGGTAGAGAAACAAACATATAGATCCAAAAAACRTAATGAATCTGGACAGGGTACATCCAACAAAGCCGTTCTCAGCCATAACGAGAAGCCCCCGAGCAGAGGGGAGCAGACCCCATGATGGCCGCAGAGGGGAGATGGTGACTTCCCTCCAGAACAATGGCAGCCACGGGCCAATGGGGTGACCAGAATGCCACACCCAACAGAATGCCTTCCACAAGGCGGAATGAAGAAAAGTCGTTCCTGATGTGCACACTGAGGGAACATGTCACCCGCACACCTACAGGAAGTGTGAAGGACCTTCTTCAGCTGAAAACACTGACATCAGCCCAAATTTCAGACCCGCAGGAAGGGACGGAGACGCAGGAAGAGGCTCTSTGGGCCACTGGGAAGACAGTGACCTTCCCTTCATTTCTCACRAGGTGAAGCCGGAGGGTTGAACCGTGGGGCTGTATGACTTGTGTAGATGACACATGACAGCAGCGTGACAACTCAGCCAGGCAAAGACCGGGGGGCTGAAGCCTGCCGTGTGCATCTCCCTGCTTCTGATAACCGGCTCCGTATCGGCTCTGGGGGCTCCATACTTTTCTTGTGAGGATGCCTAGAGTTAGAAGAATCTCCTACAGAGGTTCAGGTGGGAGCATGAGCTGAGTCCCCGCGGAGCAGAGTCTGCTGACCTCCCATCCCTGATGAGCRCGTTTTCTGGGGCCAGAGAGGCCATGGTGAGCAGGGCATAAAGGACCGACTGTCCCTGGGAAGGAACCAACATGTTCCCAGAATCTGGTTGTGTTGGCTTTTCTCCCCAATAAACAGATGGTGACAATGTGGCACCTTCCCTCTGTGCAGACACAGTGACCACGACTGGACGGGGAGACTACCTACGATTGACTGTGGGAGCCACCCCTGGGCCGTCAGCTCAGCCCCAAGGAAGGGCCTCTGTGGAGAAGCCCTAGCGCAGAAATAAGGTGGCCCTTGGCCCTGCCCGTGACCTGCAGGGGCTGCCTCTTCCCACCCCYGGTGGGGGCAGTACACATGGGGCCTGGCCAGTGCTGCCCCAGTGGTCCCAGCACAGCAGGATGGGCTGTCCCCAGCTGCCCCGAGCCTCCCCGTGACCACACATCTCCCTGTGCCTACCAGGAGTTCACACCGTCCTTGCTAAAGCCCAAGGGACCTGGTGCCTGGGTYCTGTGGTGTGATCAGTCATGGGAAGGGAACGTGCAGCCCTGTGTGCACCTTCCCCATCTGAGCAGGAAAGGTCCCCTGGCTTGAATTGCTTTAATGGCTGTATTTATGCAGCTGAAAGTGTCTTAAGAAATGAAAGTAAAATCAAATTGCTRCAAACGCTCGGATAATTTATCAGAGAATATTCAATTAGAATACATTAATATTTTAGATTTCCATCATCAATTTAATATTTGGGGATTTAGTGCAGTCACTGAGCTGCGGTGCCCTGTGGCGGGTGTCCAGGGTGAGGGCTCCAGCAGGGGCACTCCAAGTCCAGCAGTGGCCATAGGCCTCGTGTGGCTGGGCAGGACGCAGACCAGGGGTGGGCCAGGTAAGGGTAGTGGGGTCCAGGGGATTCGGGGTGCAGCGCCCTGAGGACCAGAGGCAGACAGTGGGGAGTCTTCCCGGGATGTTGGGGCCAGGCGGCCCATCCCTTGTTGTACCGGGGTAGCCTTCACTCTGGAGCGGTGGCCCTCTTGGGGGACCATGAGTATGTCCTTGATGACACCAGGGGACAGCTGAGTCCTCCCCTGCTGAGCCAGCTTGCCCTCCGGGAGGGGGCTGTGGAGGAAGCAGGTGGGCGGGGTGGAGGAGAGGGGTGAGCGCACAACAGGTACATCTGGGACCAGAGGACATGGGTGCCAGCACGCTCTCCCAGGTAAGGTGACTGAGCCACCTCTGAGGAGGGAACCACTGCAATGGCSGTAGAACTGTGGTGACTGGGGGCAGGAGCTCCAGAAAGGCTCAGGGTCCCGAGAAAGAGCCAGGAGGTCAGAGTGACAGACAGCCATGCCCAGGGAGAGGGTGAGAGATGAGCTGAGAGCCTCAGGGCCAGGTCACSGGGGCGGGTGGCTGTGGGAGGACTCAGCGTTTTACTTTGAGACTCGAAGGGACCTGATGTGGCTATCAAGCCCCCCYCATGCTGCTGCAAGTGAGTCAGATGACAGGGACAAGAGTCCCAGGAGGAGGGTAATGGGGGAGGGGGTCCACAGGACCCCTGTGCAGAGACAGCAAGGATCAAGGGATGAACATCTTGTTTAATTAGAATAGAGGCTGGAAACCCCCAATAAACCCTTTTATCCTCTAAGTTTGTAAGATGTGGGAGCCGACGCCCTGAGACTTGAAAGAYCCTGGGGTCCTCCCTCCCTCCCTCCGAGGCTGAGGCTCCAAAGAGCAGGCCGTGGCCATCCGCCCACCCGCCCCTTCTGCCCTGGAGGAGCCAGCTGGGGCACGGCAGGGGGCCTCCTCGGAGCCCTGAGTAAGTCCAACTCACAGGAGGGGCCTCTGCTCCCAATGTGACGTGTGTGCGTCCAAGCTCCCCGGCTGTGGACTGCCTGTCCCTGCTGCTGGCCGACCAGCGCTGATGGCTGTGATAACGATGACGATGACGGTGATGATGATGGGGGTACTGGTGATGGCAGTGATGGGTGGCGGGGAGACGGTGATGCTTTGATGTCAGTGATGGGGATGGTGGTTACTTACATGGGGATGGCAGTGGGTAGTGGCAGAGTGATGGTGGTGATGACAGTGGTGGTGATGGTGATCAGGGGGAGGGGGATGATGGTCATGGGGATGGTGGCCGTGGGGATGGTGGTCACTGGGATGGTGGTCATGGGGGTGGGGATAGGGATGGTAGTCATGGTGATGGTGGCCGTGGGGATGGTGGTCACTGGGATGGTGGTGATATGGTGATAGTGGGGATGGTGGGGAT